ATCTGACTCTGAGGAATTAGACTTAGCGCATCAAAGCCATTAGAGAACAAAGCCAGATGACCTGGTATTTTTATGCAGAAAACATGCATTTATCATGAATTCAAACATCGGCTTTAATTTCAGAGATTTGGTTTATAAAAGCAAGAGCACTATGCTGTTGTGTCCTTTGAAGTGACTCCAGCTGAGGTAGTCACTCGCTGAGGGGCGGTTGGATCACAGCACACACAACAACACAGTGTGGATTTCAATAGAGACGAGACCACTGAGCCACCCCAGCCCTCCTGGTGGGCGGCACTGCTAAGGCAATTAGCATTTGGGGTCTCATCAGAAGGATTAGTTGTAAGAAAGATAATTTTTTTTTTTATAAAACAGAAGCTCTTCTGAAATAGCTAAGCCAAGCTTCCTGAATATTCTTTATTTATTTTTTTAAAATTTATTTGACAGAGTTATAGACAGTGAGAGAGAGAAAGAAAGTTCTTCTTTCTGTTGGTTCACCCCCCAAATGGCTGCTACGGCCTGAGCTACGCCGATCTGAAGCCAGGAGCCAGGTGCTTCCTCCTGGTCTCCCATGCGGGTGCAGGAGCCCAAGCACTTGGGCCATCCTCCACTGCCCTCCCGGGCCACAACAGAGAGCGGGACTGGAAGAGGAGCAACCGGGACTGGAACCCGGCACGCATATGGGATGTTGGTGCCGCAGGCGGAGGATTAACCAAGTGAGCCATGGCACCAGCCCCCTGCATATTCTTTACCAAAACACCCTGCATAACTGAAACATGGTACAGAATGCTGTCTCCTTAATTCTATGTGGAATTTGTCACACTTCTGTTTCTCAGTCTATACCTCCTCCAGACTTAAACATAACTGAGTATTTCTTTTTTTTTTTTTTTTAAATGGTACTTTAAAAAAAAAAAAGATTTGTTTATTTGAAAGGTAGAGAGAGAGAGAGAGGTCTTCCATCTGCTGGTTCGCTCCCCAGATGGCTGCAATGGCCAGAGCTGCACTGATCTGAAGCCAGGAGCCAGGAGCTTCTTCCTGGTCTCCCAAGCGGGTGCAGGGACCCAAGGACTTGGGCCATCCTCCACTGCTATCCCAGGTCATAGCAGAGAGCTGGATTGGAAGTGCAGCTGCCGGGGTTCAACCCAGCACCCAAATGGGATGCCGGCACTGCAGGCAGTGGCCCTACCTGCTACGCCACAGCGCCGGCCCCCTGAGTGTTTCTTGGAGTGAGACTCCTTGGAACATGTCCACAGAGCTGGCATCAGCAATGGCTTCTCTACTTGTCATGATTAATGATATTCAGTATAAATATTAGTTACCAACTTCCTGTTGGCCTTTCTGCTTAAGAAACAAATACTGTATACAAATTAAGGAAACAGTCATTGTCCTTCTGTGCTTAGCAACACTCTCCTCACGAAGACCAGATCCTAAATATTCACGCCAGTATTAGGACATTAACAGCCGATCAAAACACCCTATCAGTCCTCTGTCTTCTTACCCACACAGTTGCCTGCACCACTCAGGGAATCTCCGCCCATTCTCCCCACCTAACTACCTTTAATCTTAGCTATTTTTACCCTCTAAATGATAAAATGCATTGTTATGTTGGCGTGTAGGGTTTATAAATGTCAGGAACCCGCTATAGACCTTCCGAGCTCAGGGACCACGGCTCCAGCAGCCGTAATGGTTGCAGTTAAATGAAGCCAATTTTGTTTTTTGCAGGGAAGAATTGCTACACCAATCTTTCTAACTGATGTGACGAATTCAGAATGAAGCATCTTATTTTCCGAAAACAAAACCCTACTGCTTAAATAACCAGAGCAATTATAGACACAAACAAGACTCTCTATTCAATGATAGCTGAAGCGGTAAGGTGGTAGAGCGAGTGGAGGCTTTGATAAATCTGGGTTTGAAGGTGGTTTTCCTACGTCAGTGGTTATGAGTGTGTTCCTAAATTTGGCACCTGAATTCACAAGGGGACCTTTAAACTTCAAAGTCAGAAGTTAATGGTATTAACATTGTGGGAATTTAATCCAATTATGGTGTTTAGGAGGTGGGGCTTAGTGGGATGTCCTTGGGTCCCTGGGGATGTGTTGTTGGGTGGTTATAAAAGTGTGAGGTTGGCCCAGCCACTCTCTTTGCTTCCATTCTCATCATGTGATCCTTCCTCTGCACACTTCCCCATCCACCACCTCACCAGATGCCCAGCCAATGGGGCCACCTGATCTTGAACTTTCAGAGCCAAGAGCCAAAATAGGCCTCTCTTGCCTCCGTATGTAGCTTATACAAATCTGATTAATAGAATCGCTTAGTCTAATTTACTTCTGTTTTCTCGTCTATAACGTGGAGATAAAAAATATTCTATGGGGTTCACTTGAGATTTGAATGGGATAACATGTGCAGAAGGCTTAGCAGTTATTGGCTAGCACCTTATAGATACAGGTAAATAGAAGCTATTATTTTTCTTTTTCTCCATGTTTTCTAAATCAACCTCTGATGAACTAATGGTAGGTAGGAGAATTATACCAGAACCTCTACTTGGTAGCAGTTCTTTGGCCCTGGTTGTAGGATCAGGTCTGTCACTGATGTGGCTGCCTTTAGCCAACAGTTGCTTTTGTGAATTGCAGTCTATGTCAAATGGTTTCTGGTTTCCCAGCTGTCAGCACACTGTGGCTACTATCATACCTTGTCTGTGATTCCTGGTTTCCGCTGACATTGAACTTTCAGGGTAGGAAATGTGGCTTCTCTTCTGTCTCTGGCTACAACTTTTCTTTGCTTAATCAGAGCAAAATTGTCCTCATAACAGTTCTTAGAAACCACTCCATTTAAAACTCCCTGCCATGGTGATATTGTGGTCTGGCACAAGCTATTTGAAAGCTCTTTTTAAAATGGATTTTTAAAAAATCCATTTAAACAAAAGGAAGTTTGAAACCAGGTATGAAAAGGTATCTCTAGCCACGGAGACAAACAAAAGCTATTTTCAAAAATTTACTGATCGTTCAATCTACTTGTCCTTAAAGAGCCGGTGGTATCACCATCTGGTAGTTGTGTGACCTTGGGCAAAATAATCCGCTTCACAGAGCTTCATACCTCACTCCAGAATGAGGAGATAAAAAATTCACTTTATAGGGAACTGGTGGGAAATGACAGGAAAGTGCCTCAAGTAGTATGTGACAATATATGCCACCTATTATTTGTTATTTTTTGAGAATACATTTCATTTTACCAGAGATATTCCAACAGTTTAAAAAGCGTTTTGTTAAGAAAAAATTTCCCAACTTTCTCCACTTCATGTCTAAGGACGTTTCTAATGGCACCATCCTTGAGTACCAAGGACGAGAAATCTTGTTCTTCCCTTCTCTCTGCTTTTTCAAGAGGTGTAACTCAGCTATTATTTATGTGATTGAAATATTAACATCTACAAGTTTTAAAATATGGATGTGTGTTTCTATATGGTTTCTAGTCCTGGGCAGATTTTTAAGGAGCACTTGGATACTGGGTGATCGTCTTTCTCTTAACCCTGAAAGCTTCTGCCAGAAATGAGGCTGGGCCAGGTTTATCAGAGACTGGGTTGATTGTGTTACTTCTTTTATTCTATGCGCCTGCTTTTCTACCTTGCTATTCCATGGTGTGGTATTAAAACAAGGGCACTGAGCAGTGCTAGCCTGGACGGGATCTCAAGTGGGGTGTGGGGAGGTTGGAGGGATGAGAGGGAGCTTGTGTTCCCTACACAAGACTTTGGACATTATTCTTTGGGTTAGAGGAAACGAACAGAAGCCCTTAAGCAGAGGAGTCATAGGAATGAACCTGTTGGCAGGTAGGATGGGCTGGGGGCAGGGAAATCAAACAGGAAACATAAAGGTCTAACCTGGGGCAGTGGGAGGGTTGAGATAATGTAAGATCAGTAAATCAGGACCCAGGTCCAGTCAGATGTAATGCAGTGTAGTAGACTTGCAGCGAAAAATGCTGGTTTCTTGCTCTGTCACACAGCTTACACACGAGTATCAATTAGCCATCACAGTGTGTGCTTGCGTTTGTGCTGGTAATGAAACTGTTACCGTCTCCTTCCAAACCCACAAGCGATGCTGGGGCTGGGATTCTGCCAACCGCGTGTCCTCTTGGCCAGCTGGTTCCATACTAGGCTCTGCCACGAGGAGGCGCTAGAGGGAAACAGCAAATCCCCCGCAAGAGAAGGGAATGGGTGCCTGCATTTCCTACAGCGTCTCCGCAGCCCTGGAAGTCCGATTTGCGTCCAGCTTCTTGCTGTATTCCTCCCTTGCAGAAGCAGCCTCCTCGTACACTTTCAGAAGCACCAAACCCCCCCTGGCCATATCTCCTTCTAGGCTCCAAGGGGCTCCTCCAAATTTCTAGGTCCTATGATCCCGACCTCTTCCTGGTGTTTCCCACTGCTTTGGAGGTGAAAGGGCTTCGCACATTCACTGCGTCTGTGTTACCTCGGCGTCCCTCTCTCTTAGCCCTCTGAGCCCTCCAATACTGGTTCAACCAGTTTTCTCTAGGACATCTTGGCTGCTAAGACGACTGGAGTGATGTAGCTTTGTTTTCTTGACTGCTACAACAGCTTTGTGGAAGTCTGTAATCCTTTGCTCCACTCCGTTTGGGCATTGCCCAGTGTTTTATAGATGTGCACCAAGCAGACAGTACAAGAGTGAAAGGGGGAATGTTAACCGTCTTAGGGGACATCAGAATTCCAAATCCAGTGTAACTAATGAAGAGAACAAAAACTGGGCAGCCTATTTGTTAACGTCAATAACTCTACCTTGAATGGTTACCAGACACAAGGGATCTGCTTGCTTGATGTGGCACCAACGATCCAGCCTCAAGCGGGAGCTGCTCACAGGGAAGCTTTTTGTGACAAGTAGAGGAGCGAGTGCGAGGGCAGAGTTACCCAAAGAAACTGCCCCCCTGACCTCAGGCCTGCTGGGGCACTTATAGCAAGGGCTAAGACGTAGCAAAAGAAGGGGGAAGGCTCATCTTGCTCATACCTGCAAGCAACCTGCACCTTCGTACTTTGTGTCTTCAACACGTGGTAGCAAATTTCTCTGCCAGGTGGAGAAGTTAGTATTCTATAATGGGCAAAGTTCCGCTTAGGTCATAAAGCTCTGACTCCAACTGGTTTGTTTGTTTCTAAGAGATGTATTTACTTGAAAGTGTTGGAGACAGAGAGAGAGAGAGATTAGAGAGAAAGAGAAAGAGAGAGAGAGAGAGAGAGACCTTTCGTTTTCTGATTCACTGCCCACATGGCCACAATGGCCAGGGCTGCACCAGGCTGAAGCCAGGAATTTCTTCCACATCTCCCACATGGGCGGCAGGAGCCCAGACACTTGGGTCATCTTTTAGTGCTTTCCCAGGCCATTAGCAGGGAGCTGGATTGGAAGCAGAGCAGCTGGAATTTGAACTGGTGCCCATATGGGATGCTGGTGTCGCAGGCAGCAGCTGTACCCACTGTACCAACACTGGTTCCTCAAATTGGTTTCTTGCAGCTTCAACTATGCCTTGTTTGTAGTGGTCTGGACCCTCTCTGGGAACAAGGTTGCAAAATAAGCTCTTGTGAAACATCCTATAAAAAACAAGCTCTGGAGAGGCCCAGGTTCTATGCCTGTGTCTCAATGCCTATCTCCCATATTTGCCTAAATCCCGTACTATTATTGTTGACACAACCACAACATGGGAACACCATGGGAGAAAGGGTACTGAACTTAAATGCCCTTATTTCTAGCCACCCCCTCTACCATCACCTTTTGCTGTTTGGAGTCTTCGTGTCTCAGAAACGGGTTCCCATTTAGGGAGATAGCACAGATTTACTGAAGAATCAAATATAAAGGCAAAGTTTTTTTTTTATATATAAGTATTGGCATAAATGGACGTTCATGTTGTATCTCCGTTTTACTTCCAGCCTTGCTCTTAATTTTAATTTTTCTGTTTGGTACTTAACAGTTCCTATGGTAAATTTGGGCAAAAAATTGTGTGAAAATGAAATAAAATTCCAGTAATGTTTTTGGGATGCTCATTGTGTGTGAGGCCCCATGCTAAATATTTTACACATATTGGTTTCTTTGGCCCTTACGAGAACTCTATGGTGGCAATACTATTATCATCTCCATCTTACACAAAGGGAATCCAAGATAAAGCTTAGAAATGTGCCCATGTTAAGCTTTACTTAAAGAAGGCAGATTTAAAATTTGAACCTACATGCTTAACCTCCAGACCCTGTGTTCCAGACCCTGGAAAATTTCCCAGCCTATTTAATTCTTCAAAATATGTTTGCAATAGAAAAATAAATCGAGCATTTTGAGAGTCCCTCCTTTGAAAAGAAACTATCACACAAATCATCACATTAAAGCTTATCACCAAAATTCAACCAAATCCAACTCCTAACGCCACTCTTCCTCCAAAAAGACTATAGAAAATAAGAATGAGGGAAGGAGGGCATGGTGTTTTAGAGCATTTATATGCTTGAATGTGGAGTAAAGAGCTTGTTAAGGGGAGCATGTGAAGAGTATGAGAGTATTAGCGGTGCGGGAGATAGGCTAACTATTCAGACACTGAACCCCTAAAGAGTGCCTAGAAGGCAGTCCCCACATACCACCAAGCCTAGTCTCCTAGCCTCCCTCCGGAAGCTTGAAGTGTTCTTGCCCTGCCCTTTGATAGCAAATCACTTATGAGCATTAACAGGTGCACCTGTTCCTGCAAGGTTTTAATCACTGGACCCATGAGGTTGTTGCTTCTCGAACAGATGACATCTTGGGGGGGGGGGGTCAGTCATGTCTCCAGGGGTTTCCTTTAGAGAATTCCAGATCTGGGACAGAAAATAGCTACCACCTGCATGTAGCCCCTAGATGAAAGACACCTACTCTATCATCATAAAAATTCTCTGAAGAACACACACTGCCAGCCAATCAAAGGCAGGCTATGGGTTCCAACAACTAACCAGGAACCTGGATACATGCTGAACGCATATCTCTTATCTCAGCTTCGATTCACAAAGCATTTACTCCTAACCCCTGTGGGAGCCTGGGAATTAGCCATAGCTGCCCTGCTCCTCACTCTGCGCTTTGCAATGAACACCTCCTTTCTTCACTGCCTTGATTCAGTGATTGGTTTTCTGCATGCTGGGCACATGGGTCCAGTTTTGGGAGTTCTACAGCAATGCCTCTGACCAGTCTTGGGTTGTCTATATCAATTCTAATAGAATTTCTCAGGCTATCGTCATTTTAATTTCACTTTTCTGTTTTTTCTTGTGATTTGGAGGCAGTGGCTAGCAAAAATTTTTAGCATAATTTCTTTTTTTCCCCCAAAGGAAGCCACAATATAAAAATCATGAATTAAAAAGAAAAACAGGCAAAGCAGTATTTTCTACACAAACTTCTGTTTCAGCATTCATTGTATTTACTAAACAGCCAATTCACAAGACTGAATATTGGTAAGTTGGGCATTTCGACGGTGTTCACGTATGACATATACTACATTTGGATGGGTTTTCTGGTTAGTTTTTAATTAGTTTTGAAAGCAATTATTTAAGCATATTTTAAATGCTCCGAACAAGTGCGTGCTGAGCCCCCGAAGCACCTCTGAGGAAGTGTCACAGTTTGCAAGCTGCTAATGGAGAGAGATGCAGGCGTCCCGCCACTCCCAGCCCAGTCCCTAATGAGCCGCCGTCCTCCCCTTCCCGAGTGCATTTATGCCGGCCCACGCTCCTGGCAAAGGAGCAGGCGTCAGGCTCCATCGATCTTAGACACACACAGAGTCACTTACCCATATGCTCAGGGTCTTTGACGCTGTGTTCCTGCCCAGTCACAAATTAGTCACTTTCCGCTAGTGACTATGAATATAAAGGAGGCATTTTCTGAAACAGGAATCTTGTTCGAACAATTAGGGATGGAGAAACCAACAACCATTTGTCTTCACTTATTAAGTATCTAAACAAAACAGCTTCAGCCTGTGGCCTCTGTAGGTGCGCTCATGAAAATATCCCACACCTGTATACCCACTCTTAAAGACTCAGTACCAAAGCAGGAGAGCAGATAAGGAGGGGCCAGAGACCTTGCTCCTCTCCCTCTGCTTTCTTTACTGTAAGAGGGTCACCGTGGCCAATTTATAGAACCATAGATGGGGCTGGCGCTGTGGCATAGCGGGTTAAGCCACTGCCTGCAGAGCCGGCATCCCATATGGGTGCCGGTTTGAGTCCCGGCTGTTCCACTTCCAATCCAGCTCTCTGCTATGGCCTGGGAAAGCAGTGGAGGATGGCCCAAGTGCTTGGGCCCCTGCACCCACATGGGAGACTTAGAAGAAGCTCCTGGCTTCGGATTGGCGCAGCTCCCGCAGTTGCGGCCATTTGGGTAGTGAACCAACGGAAGGAAGACCTCTCTCTCTTGTTCTACCTCTCCTTCTCTCTCTGTGTAACTCTGACTTTCAAATAAATAAATAAATATTTAAAAGAAAAAAAAAAGAACCATAGAATCATACAGTCAGGAGGAAACAATGCAAACAGATGTCTTGCCTCCATGAGAATTCCCAAAGTGGCATTTCTTAAGGCCTCTGACGGAACATTCTAGTACAAGGAGCTTACTGCCCTATCACTCCACCCTTGGAAGACTGGTGTTTATAGACAGTTCTCCCTCGCAGGGGCTGGCATTGTGGCACAGTGGGCTAAGCAATCGCTTGTAACATTGGTATGCTGTATCGGCCCACCTTGAGCCCCAGCTGCTCCATTTCTGATTCGGCTCCCTGCTAATGCACCTGGGAAGGCAGCAAGTGATGGTTCATGTTCCTGGATTTTTTTTTTTTTTTTGACGGGCAGAGTGGACAGTGAGAGAGAGAAACAGAGAGAAAGGTCTTCCTTTGCCGTTGGTTCACCCTCCAATGGCCGCCTTGGCCGGTGCGCTGCGGCTGGCGCACCGTGCTGATCCGATGGCAGGAGCCAGGTACTTCTCCTGGTGTGCTGGTGCCGCAAGGCGGAGGATTAGCCTAGTGAGCCATGGTGCCAGCCGGTTCATGTTCTTGGGCCCCTGCCACCCACCCACCCAAAGGGGTAGGACACCTGGATGGAGTTCCACATTCCTGGCCTCTGCCTGGAGCAGCCTCAGCCCATTTGGGAAATGAACCAGAATGAATCTCAATCTCTCTCTTTCTCTCCCTCTCATTGTCACTCTGCCTTTCAACTCAATCAATTAATCTTTTTTTTTTTTTTTTAAAGAAAGTTCTTGCCGGCGCTGTGGCTCAATAGGCTAATTAATCCTCTGCCTGTGGCGCCGGATTCTGTCCCGGTTGCCCCTCTTCCAGTCCAGCTCTCTGCTGTGGCCTAGGAGTGCAGTGGAGGATGGTCCAAGTGCTTGAGCCCTGCACCCACATGGGAGACCAGGAGAAGCACCTGGCTCCTGGGTTCAGATCATCGTGGTACGCCGGCTGCAGCGCACTGGCCGCAGTGGCCATTGGGGGATGAACCAACAGAAAAGGAAGACCTTTCTGTCTCTCTTTCTCACTGTCCACTCTGCCTGTCAAAAAAAAAAAAAAAATTCTCCCTCACATTGCATGAGCCATAGATTAGTCAGTCAATAGTGGATGGGCATGTGGGTTACTTCTAGACTTCATCACAACAGATGATGGCGTAGTAGATGTCATTGTGTATATAAATGAAACTCTGCATTTGTTCCATTAGGGAAGACTCTTGCACGTGGTACTGCTGAGCCAAAGAACATGTGTGCATTCTAAAAACTCTTAGTAGCTAATGCTGGATGACTGTTCGAAAAGGTTGTGCCCATTCACATCCTATCAATGACATAGGACAATACTTATTTTCCCATTTAATTTGATCAAACTTTCAACCTTTTTCTATCTGCTGCCTGAAAAGTGATTTATGCTTGTCATTTTACTTGGCATGTGATGATGACTGCTAAGATCAGGCATCTTTCCCCTTGTTCATTCGTTGTCTGTGACTAGTCTTCTGTGATTTTGCTATTGACTTGTCTTCAATTCTTAATTCCATTCAGTGGAATCATTATCACCCCTTACAGTGACCATGACCCCTGCAAGGACTAGGTTTATAAACACAATGAGAAGGCATTTGAGAGCTAAAGGCCGTTCCACTTTTAGAAGCTGACTCCACTTAGTCTATACAGAGGATGGAGACCTGCTTCTCCTTGTTCATTCTCAATAAGTACAACTCATTCTAAAGCCTGGAAGTCACTCAAGAGATAGCCAAATGAGAACTCCGAAAGGTGGTAAGAAGAAGGTAATCTTGTTTGGGAGCCCGTACAGAGCAACAGCACAGGGGAAGGGCAGAAAAAGCGACTCACAATGGTGTTTTCTGACTCCTTATCTGGCAATAGAAGGCAGCTGTGTAGCCTCATTCCTTCCCCAGATCAACAGGTTTCCATCTGAAAACATCTCTCTGGCTCCATTCTGATACCAAAGGAAGAGAAAGGGAGCTGGAACTCCTTCCAGCAAACAACAAGTGCATGGGCACAGCCCTATTTCCTGCCAGGTGGGGTCTGTACTCCCCTGCTGGAAGATGCCAAGGCTAGTAGGAGGTACTAGGATGGCCAGGAGAGGTGCACCTGTGGGGAGCAACTGGGAGCAACTCGGACTATACTGTTACTGGAATTAAGACTTATTCTATACATCTGCTCTCCCACAATATGGCGCGGGGAGAGGAGCAAACAGCTTCTACCCAGCTGCCTCTCACCAACTTGACAAACTGCAGGACCTGCTCCTGATTGGAGGAGAGCAGCGTACTCGGCGTTGTGGGTAGCAGAGTTGGGATTGGTGGAAGAGGACTATAAAGGAGGAGAGAGACAACATGCACCAGGAACATCTAAGGGGAACATCTATCTGAAGGAACACCTGTGCAGCCCCCGAGAGAGCCGGCCGGCGGTGTGCCGCTCCCCCGCGGAAGTGGGGAAAGTGGCTAGGGGGAACCGCCCTTCCATGGAGGTGGAAGGGACGGTAGCCAACCTGGGAAGAACCAGCAGCAAACCCGGGGAGGGCCGAGCAGACAAAAGAACAGCGCAGGGTCCTGTGTCGTTCCTCCACGAAGACGGGGAGCGACATGCACCTACGACAAGTGGCCCAACCAGGAAGCCTCTATGGTCCCATGGGCCCTTCCAGAGTCTCCACCTTCCTCAGCCAGCACCAGCGGGCACCAGGGAAAGCTCCAATGCCTCCAGACAAAGCAAGCAAACCAAACAGTAGAACAAAGGCCCTGAAAATTCAACTGCCTCTGGAGACACAGTCTACAAAACTGGAACAAGACCTGCTTGCAAAAACCTCAACAGGGTACTCGCCTGACAAAATAGGAGATGTAGAAAATAGACACAATGTCCAAGACACAATAAAAACACAACCTGTCATACCAAGAACAGAGACAAACACAACTTCAGTGGAAAAGACAATCAGCTGACACCAACATGAGTCGAGTCAGGTACTAGAATCATCTGACATGGATTTAAAAGCAATGGTCATAAAATACTCAACAACTGCAAACACAAATGTAGAAAATCTCAGCAAAGAAATAAATCAATTTGGAATTGTTTTCTTTTTCTAAGCTAAACTCCCAGGAAAACAAAAACACTTTAAAAAGGAGAGAAGGAGAAAGAGACTGAAAATCAGAAGAAACAAATTGAAAACACATTAAAAAAAAAAGAAGCCTTATAATAAAACAACCAATCCAGTTAAGAAATGGGCAAAACACCTGAACAGACAGTTCTCAAAAGAAGAAATTCAAATGGCCAACAAGTATGTAAAAAGATGCTCAATATCACTAGCCATCAGGGAGATGCAAATCAAAACTTCAATGAGATGCCTTCTCACAATAATTTTGATAATGATGGTTATTATCAAAAAGCAAAAATAACAAATGCTGGTGAGGATGTGGAGAAAGGGGAATTCTTATACATCGTTGGTAGGAATGTTAGTTAGTACAGCCACTATGGAAAACAGTATGGATATTTCTTAAAAATCTAGAAATAGCACTGATATAGGATGCAGCAATTTATTTATATATTTATATATTAAATATATTTATTTATATATTTTGTATTTATACAAAAGACATGAAATCATTGTACAAAGAAATACCCCACTCCACCATGTTTATTACAACACTGTTTGCAATACCCAAAATATGGAATCAACCAAAATGTCCATGATCAGATGAATAAAGAAAATATATACACATGGAATATTATTCAGCTGTAAAAAATAGTAAAATCCTGTCATCTGCAGCAAAGTGGAATTGGAGGACATCATGTTAAGTGAAAGAAGCTAGACACAGAAAGACAAACACTGCATGTTCCATGTTCTCCCTCATATGTGGAACCTGAAAAAGCAAAAAGCTCAATCTGAACACAGATTGTTGATAACTAGAGACTGGGAGGGCTGTGGTAGATACAGGGAGTATGGGTGAAAGAAAACTAGGGGGAGTGGGGCATGGCTCATTAATTATTACAAATATATTTTACCAACATGAGATGTTAGTAATAGGGGAAGCTGAGTGTGGGCTATATGGGAACTCTTTGTACAGCATCATACGCTCTGTTTTATAAATTTAAGACTATTCCGGAATAAAAGATTTCTTATAAAGAAGTATTAAGTTCCAACAATGATCACCTTCAATGCACATAGTTCAGATAAACTAATCGAAAGAAGAGACTAGGAATGGATTAAAAAACATGTCTCAACTCTGCTGTTCACAAGAAACTCAGTTTAAATTTGGCTCCATATCTGTATTGAAAATAGCATGTAAACATTAACCCAAAGGACAAGATTGACAATATTAGTATCCAGTAAGCTAGACATCAGAGTAAAGCAAATTGTTAAAGGCCAAGAGGGATATTGCATTATGATAACAAAATTTATATACCAGAAAACCATAATGCTTCTAAATATTTACATACCATGCAACAAACCTCAAAAAAAAAAAAAAAACACAAGAGCTGAAAGAGCTGAAAGGAGAAATAGACATGAATGTAATCAAGTCCTTTTCCAGAACATATAACAGGATAGGCTATATACTGCACAGACATCAACAAATTTGAAAGAAATCATATAGCATGTTCTCTGTCCATAATGAAATCAAACTAGAAATAAATAATAAAAACTTGGAAAATCTTTAAGGGCAGTTGAACAACACGCTTCTAAATACTCCATAAATAAAAAACACATGCTCAAAGGAAACTAAAAGCGTATTGAACTGAATGAAAATGACAACATGACACATTAAAATACGTGGGGTGCATCTATATTAGCACTATGAGGGAAGGTTACAGCACTCAGTGCTTATATTATAAACAGGCAAAAGTCTCAAATCAATATTACAAGTTTCTGCTTTGAGAAGGTAGAAAAATTAAAGAAAAATAACCCCAGACAAGCAGAAGGAAGAAAACAGTAAAGATTAGAGAAAAATCAAATGACATTTACAACAGCAAAGTAACAGACTCAATGAGAAAAAAGTTAATTCTTAAAAAAATTCATCAAATTAATAAACCTCCACCAAAAGTGATAAAAACAAAAAGAGATAAACACAAGTTATTGATATTAGCAATGAGATAAAGCATATCATGAAAAAGCCTGTAATCATTAAAAGATGATAACTAAATACTGTAACTTTATGATCATAACTTCAACAACTTGGAAGAAGTTAATTTATTGATAAACCACAAACTACCAAAATTCAAGATGAAAAAGGATATATGAATAGCCCTGTAACAATTTTAAGCATAGAGTTCATAATGAAAAAGTTTACAAAAAGAAATTTCCCGACCCAGATGGCTTACCTGGAGACTTTTATCAAGTATTCAAGGAAGAATTAGCTCAGCTTTTATACCACCTTTCCCAGCAAAGAGAAAACAAAAGAACATTTTCAAACTCATTCTACCAGGCTGGTATGACCCTGATATTAAAATGAAAGACAGTAAAAATAAATAAAAAAACACAACAGCCACAGGTCAATATCTCTGAAGAACTTAGACAAAAAAAAAAGAAAAAAAAAAAAAAAAAGCAAGAAAACTAACTCTCACAAAACAATTGATTTAGAAGAATTATATGCCACAACAAGGTAAGGTTTATTCAGGTACACAAGGCTGAGTTACCATTCTGAAGTCAGTCAGTATGGTCATGAAAAGTCATTTGGTTTAGCAACTTACATAAAAAACATGTTTGAAAAAATCTAAAGTCCATTCACAATAAAAAAAAAAAACTTCTAATGGGTTAGGAACAGAGGGCAGTGACTTCCCTTTGAAATGTAGCATCTACAAAAATGCTACAGTTGGGGCCAGTGCTGTGGCAAAGCGGGTAAAGCCACTGCCTGCAGTGCTGGCATCCCATATGGGCACAGGTTCGAGTCCCAGCTGCTTCATTTCTGATCCAGCTCTCTAAGTCCTTGGGCCCCTGCACCTGCGTGGGAGACCTAGAAGAAGCTCTTGGTTCCTGGCTTCGGATCAGTGCAGCCCAGGTCATTGCAGCTAATTGGGGAGTGAACCAGCAGATGGAAGACCTCTCTCTCTCTGCCTCTCTTTCTCTCTCTGTGTAACTCTGACTTTAAAATAAATAAATAAATCTTTAAAAAAAAAAAAAAAAGGAAAAAATGCTCTAGTTACTCACACTTAACAGTGAAGGACAATGCTTTTCCCCTAATAGGGATCGGGAACTTTTGCCTGTGGGCCCTATAAGACCCATGAAATCATTTGGTCTGTCCTTGCCAAGAAATCCACAGGTGGGACTCGAAATTCAATAAATCTACACAGGCTAGTTTTTAACTTGATAATTTTGTAAGGCCCAAGGATTATGCCATGAATAGCCACATGGCCCTTGGCAGAAAAAAGATTCCCCAGCTATGCAAGATCAAGAGCAAGGGAAACATATCCAATCTCTCCACTCACAGTCAACACAGGACCAGAACCTCTGGCCACTGCAACAAGCTAAGAAAGATAACAACAAGCTCAGTATTGGAAAAGAATAGTAAAACCATTATTGTCTGCCAATGACATGGTTGTCAATGTGGAAAATTCCCAAGAAATGCCCTCCCCGCCCTGCTGGGACTGAGTCCAGCAATTAAATAAAATTTATAACAGCAAAATAACCTACAGCACACAAAATTGGCCTGCAAAATCCAATTTCATTTTTTTTTTTGACAGGTAGAGATATAGATAGTGAGAGAGATAGAGAAAGGTCTTCCCTTCGTTGGTTCACCTCCCAAATGGCCGCTATGGCCGGCGCTGCACCAATCCAAAGCCAGGAGCCAGGTGCTTCCTCCTGGTCTCCCATGTGGGTGCAGGGCCCAGGCACTTGGGCCATCCTCCATTGCCTTCCTGGGCCACAGCAGAGAGCTGGACTGAAAGAGGAGCAACTGGGACTAGAACCCGGTGCCCATATGGGATGCCGGCACCACAGGTGGAGGATTAACCAAGTGAGCCACAGTGCTGGTCCTCAATCTCATTTTTAATAGTAATAGTAACACAGGAAACTGAGAGGAAAAATACAATACCACTGTAATTCCTTCAAAAAACAAAGTGTTTAAGTTACACACTTAAAATATAGAATCTATGTCCTGAAAAAAAAAATCACCAAGTGCTGGTGAAAGAAGTGAAAAGCAATTTAAACAAATGGAAAGATAGGCTATGTTTCTAGATTGGAATAATCATCTGACTAAAGATTCCAACTATGTCAAGTTGATCTAGAGATTTAATGTAATTTATATAAAAAAAATCTCAACAAGTTTATTTATGTATTTCTTTATGACACAGACCGGCTCATTCTACAATTCATTTGGAAAGGCACAGTGGGAGAAACAGACACATATATCAGTGAAACATAATAGAAAATCCAGAAATAGACTCACATAAATATGTTGACCTAGTTCTTGACAAATGGGCAGAAACAATTCAATAGAGGAAATGTAGTGTTTTCAACAAATGATGCTGTAGCAACTGGGCTTCGTAGGCAAAAATGATGAACCTGAATCTAAGCTTCACAACTTACACAAAAATTAACCAAGAATAGATCATGGACGTAAAATGTAAAATATTTAAAGTTTCTAGAAATAAAACAAAAAATGTAGGAATTTAGGATTAAGCAAAAATTCTTCAGTGTGATACAGAACACACCCTCCATTAAAGGAAAAACTGATAATTGCATCTCATTAAAATTACAACTATTACGTTGTGGAAATCCATGTTAAAAAGATGAGAAGACAAGTTACAGATTAGGAAAAATATTTGCAAATCACATATTCTATAAATCACTTTTGCCTAAGATATTTAAGTACAAAAGAACCATCGAAACCCAGCATGACAAAACCCATTCAATCCAATTAGAAAATGGCCAAATGTTTGAAGGTTGTGTAAAATCTTTTGGATCTTAACAAAGGAATACTACTCAGGAGTAAAAACAAGTGAAATCCTATTAGCATAAGCCACAAAAGCTCTGGAAAACATCATAGTGATCAAAGGAAGATGGAAACTCAGAATGTTTCTATGATGCGGTAGAACAGGCAAAAGTAATCTATCAGATGGAGAGAGATGAGTTGTTGTTTGAGGAAGTTGTAAGAGGGATTATCTGGGAAGGGACACAAAAGAAACTTCCAAGTTTACCTAAACATTTTCTGTCTTGTTCGTAGGATGGTGTTATGTGGGTATGCACATTTGTCAACACCTACCAGATTGCGTATTTATGATCTGTGCATGCTGTTTGATGTAAATTAGCTCAACAGTAAAGCATGAAAATCCAAGAAGAAAAAATTAAATTTCATGGTAACTGAAGATGTCTTCAAGTTTCTGTCCTTCCATGGACTCCCATAAAGATATGGGGGAGAACCATCTGGCTCTTACCAGGTTGAGTCATCACACTTGATGCACAATCCAAGGGCATGAGCCATAAAAGGGGGAAAAAAATCACCCAATGGATGAACTCAGCAACCACAGCAGGTACCTACATCAGCTATTGTTCTTCCTCGTCCTCCAACTTCACAGATTCTGTCTTTCCCTCAGTTAGTCATCAAGTAACCTGCTTGTG